ATCCTTGTCAGAATGTCCTTCCTTTGTAATGCTGAACACTATACCATTGTATGTATGTACCATGTGATGGAGAGTTTTAAGGGGCTGCAGCTCACCTCTCTCGGGATTACTATCAGGTCATCTTATTACGGACCCAACCCTGATGGCAAGCTCAATTCTGATAAATGGGCTTCCATCTCATTCTCAGGCCTCATGTTGGTCCATCCTTCACTTCTACTTCTCTAGTAATCTTTTATTTGGGAAACTGCGTAGGCTTCCAGTCCTTCTTCCCAGAGTCTAGAAGAGTCATACCTTCTATCTCAGGACAGTGAGAGAGCTTGGACCCATTACCTGTTGCTCACTGCTTGTCCAGAGTTCCTAGCTCTGGCTGTGTTCAGTCGAGGCATCAATAACTTACCATCCAAAATGGCAGCCACCTGCCTGAACTGCATTGTTTTGACTACACCTTTGTCAACTCAGCCTAACCTACCCAGTGGATTCTTCTCTCTGTTCCTTTAAGGGGGAGGGTGTGGTTTCAAGAAATGTGCCATCCCAGTGGGACTTGTGTCTATAGCAAACCCAGCCTCCTGTCCACATTACAACTTTCTTCCCTTCTATTGCCTATCACCAGGAACCTCCTGGCCACCGCCCTGTCTCCATCCAAACCCTAGAACATTAGACCCACGGCACCGAGTCTACAGAAGCCCAGGTCCAGCGCACTTACAGCCACAGCGAGTTCCTTCCTTGCGTGATGACACCGGTGAATCGGGTCAGACGCCTGGCATCCACTTCAATCCACTGCTGGAGGTCGTTCCTTCCCGCACACCACGCCCCATCATAAAAGTCATTTTCATTAATGCCCGCCTGAAAAGAAAGAGAGGTGTTCTTCAGAAAGACCTGGAATCAATGAAAATTAAGATAATTTATTTTCCACAAGACTGAGACAAAGGGGGGCAGGGGAGGGGGGAGAAAATGAAGAAGGTGATGAAAAAAATCATTGTGCACTGAACTCCTTATTTTAAATCATAAAAGGGAGTTGCTTATTATTAAAAGTTAGAAATGTTTCAATATGATATGTTCTCTTCTTGTCCAGTAGGCAAGATGAAATTTAATGAGTTTTCCTATTACTCATTCATCCAACAGACGCAGACCGTCTCCTACATACCCGCCTACACATGCCAGGTGCTGGGGATACAAGGTGAATTGTTCCCTCCCAGAAGCTCACCATCCAGGCAGAGAGAAAGACACGAAAATAGACAAATTAGAACACAATGGGGCATGTGTTATTTCCAAAATAGGAGCAAACTGTTATGGGAGCATTTAAGGAGAGCACAGCTAACTTGGTCTGGGGGGACCAGGAAAGAAAGCCCCCAGGCAGAGGTAATAGCTGACTAGGTGTTGAAGGCTAAGTGTATCTAGTGAATATGTGTTTGTTAGTACTTAAGTCTCTTGGTGTATTGAGTATCAACTACTGTTGCTACCAGAGAGTTCGCTGATCTGAATTTTATAAGGTAGATTAACTTTCTGCTCTGGAATTTTCCCTGTATGATCACCATTTGAAAAGCGAATTCCCTGACCTAAAAAAAAAAAGAGGACATGTGAACCAAGTGTAGCTTCTTGGTTTACTAAGACCCTTTCTGCATTAATCCCCCTTCCCCATGGCTATTTCACAAGTATACACTCAGAAGAGAAAAAATCTGGATGATATTTGAAAGAGAAAAATGATAGGCAGCCCATCTCCCCTACCTCTGAGCACTTTTCAGCTCAAATTCTAGGAAGCCTTAGTTTTAACAGGCAATGGTGATGTGACACTCAGAGTCCAGCTACTACAGACGAGCAACTTGACCAAGAGTTGCATCACTGCACCGGTTAATATATGCCTGTATCAGGACCAAACCACGGTGTGTGCATTTCCAAGCCTCTCCAATCTTAAAAGAGCTTTGAGGGCAGCTGTCAGAATACTAACATATCATGGCCTTCGAAAAGCACTAGCATCTCAAATGAAGGTGAGTAAGGAAACTACTAGTCAACATTCTCCAGAAACCCACGCTCTCAATTAAGCAGCACTTCAGGGTCTGATGACACACGGGGCTGTCTATAATAAGGACCTACAGGTGCAGCAAGGTTCTGCCTTCTAGAATTGTCAAAGGCTAAATGTTGCAAGTGCGCATTACCAGTTCTTAGCTGTGCTTAGTGTGTTTTGTGAAAGTGGTGGTGACTCTATCCGTGACCTCTCATTTCCCAACGCAGCCAAGCCATCGGAGGTCGCCACCCCAGCCTGAAGGCAACAATCCCACCATCACTCCCTTTCTTCACTGAAGGTAATCATCCTCCCAATGAGAGAGACCTGCAACACAGTAATGACCTTCAACATCACAGCTCCTCCTCTTCCAAGAAACCACAAGGCGCATTTACTGTTTGCTGTGGTTCCTCTTCTTTTCTTGTAAATGGTCCATGAGACTGGTGTTTAGAATAGTTCCGTTCACTTATTGAAATTAACCTTCACCATGCCTCTACTATGTGCCAAGTGGTGGCCGAGGCAGTAGGAAGGTGAAGGCAGAAACATGTGCAGCCCTGCCCGCTTAGAACCTAGAATGGGCAGATGGACTGAAGCCTTCATATGGTGCTTGCATCGTGGTCTTGGCATCTTAAACTCACTCATTGCACAGAGTGCTGGTTAAGAGCTTGTGCTCCCAAGTATTCCTGCATAGGTGTGAATTCTGCTCTGCCGCTCACATGCTCTTTAAACTCAGGTGATCTGACTCAATGTTCTGTGCCTCGGTTTCCCCATCTGTGAAAGTGGGAACAATGATAATTTCTCCCTCAGGGTGTTGATTGATCTTAAAACAGGGCCTGGCACATAGTTAGCATGGACTTCAAAGAACAAAAAAGTGCTCGATAAATGTCAGTTATCAGTGTGTTTAAAACAATGAATATTTGGCAAATCGTGGAGATTTGGTGCTTTACTAATCACTTCACATTTTACAAAATTCTAGGGATTACAATACTATTCCAGTTAATTGCTGCACATTTTCTACAACTTCAAATATCCAGAATAGAGTTACAAAATCTGTAAAAACGAGAAGACCCATAGTATAAAGTTTTCAACAGGAGTCCATGTTGGCCCCCAGGGGATATGTAGCAATGTCTGGAGTCATTTTTGGCTGTCACAACTGTGAGAGGTGCATCCTATTGGCAACTAATAGAGGCCAGGGATGCTGCTAAATGTTCTGCAATGCGCAGGAGAGCCCCCACCAAAAAGAACTGCCCAACCCAAAATGTCAGCTGCGCCAAGGTTGAGGATGTCTGGTCATGTGCTAAGCAGGCAAGAACAGCTGCCCCACAGCCGGGAGATTGACCCCTATAGACTCATGGAAGCTTGGAGGAACTAGCCTGCTGGTATTCAACCCAAGTCTACTGACTGTGATCTAGAATTAAATTTAAGATTCCGGCTTTTACCAGCCTAGATATTTTGCTTCTGCTGCCAATCTCAGCTCTTCCTGAGCTCACTAGACAGTTAAATGTAGTAAGGTGTCAGGGGATAGGAGAGCCCTTCCTGAAACTGACTCATAGGGAAATGACAGCCTCTTCTAGGAAATGACAGCCACCTCTGCAAAATCAATTATAAATTTATAAAGCAAGCACCTGGGAGAATTCAGTACCAGCCCCAGAGATGTCACCAAATTACACCACCCTAAAAATAAATGGTATTCGTACGATGTCTCTGAGAAACCGAGAGAGGGGTACATTCATCACTTTATGTTTAATAATACAGAGAAATACTTCATAAATTTTGGAGAAATCTCAGTCAGAAGTTGTTGAAATAAAAGGCTTGATCCTTTAAGGTATAAGCTAGCCATGAAAGCTCCACTGCACAGAACGATTATCTGTATTACAGTATCAAATAGTGAATTCATGTAATTTTCTCAAGGCAATTAGGTTATATGCATCATTACTTTATTTTAAAGAAACCATCAATGCCTATAACAGACTAAATTTTGCTTAAGATAAATGTGAGAATTATTAAATCCATAGCAAAGAGAAAACCTGATACTATCCATTTAAGATCAAACAGGATTTTTCTGTTTCAAGATGATAGAGTAAATATTAGTTTTTCTGTGTTCTTCTCTTGAAAATTTCCCCAAATAAAACAAAATAAATATAACCTTGATCTCTGACAAAACTAGAAGACATTTATAATCCCCAAATTAAAATACATGAAGACAGAAATCACATGGAGGAACCCTGAATGACTCAGCACAGGAAGGGAATGATACCTTACAAGAGGCACACCAACGAGAAGCAAACCACACAGGACCTAAGAAAGCTCAAACACTAGATTCTTAGTTATCTTGAAAGGTAAGGGTGGGGCAATATGAAAACAGGGAATTGATTAAACGTGTATATTTTTAAAAAATAGATTCCCATATCCCAACTCTCCCTCCACAGAAGACCTGAAATTTTTCTCTAAAAAAAAAAACCACACAGAGGCTCTGGATTTGGAGAGCTCAGACACAGAGGGCAAGTGCGATGTGACAGATAAAAACAGGGAACGCGGGGACATCAGCACATTGAAGAATGAGATGCCCCAGGTCCCTCCCTCCATCCAACTCTAGAACATAGTGCTGCCAGGCCTAGAATCAATGAACAACAACAAACAGCAAACAAACAAGCTAAAAACTAAAGGTGTAAAATACAGGAGAAGACCTCAAAGAAACTACGATTGATATCCCCTGAAATAAATTATCTTGCTTGCACGAAATAAGAATAGGATATTCTTAGAAAGGAAAATGTATTACACTAGAAAGCTCTTGGAATGTGAAAATTCCCATAACAATAAATAATAAGAGAAAAAAAATAAGGACAGAGGAAAAAATCCAGAAGACTTTTAGCAGAAGAAATTATATAAAAAAAAATACAACTATAAGATAACATCCCAGATATGTATGGCTTGTCTCTGAAACACTAAGAATGTAGTACAATGAATAAAATAAGACCCACACCAAGGCATATCACTGTGAAACTTCACAGCATCAGAAATAAAGAGAAGGTTCTAAAAACTCCCAAAGAGGAAGCTAATAATATGTAATAATAAACAAATACATAAAACAAAGCAAAAGGACTAAGAATAGCACCAGAATTCTCAATAACAACATCTGAGCTAGAAGAATGGAGGGATAATGACTTCAAAATTCTGAAGGAAAAGATTTTTCATCCTAGAATTCTACACTCAGCCAAACTATCAATCAATTGTGATGGTAAAACAAAGACAATTTTAGGTTCACAGATTCTCAAAAAATTTATTTCTCATGTACCATTTCCATGAAGCTACTACAGGATGTGCTCCACAAAAAATGAGGCAAAACACCAAAACGTGGTAGCTGTCACATCCAGAAATCAAGGGTTCCAAAACAGGAAAGAATTCTCAGAATGATGATAAAGGGAGGCCCAACACAGTCTCTGTGTAGGAGACCCAGAAAGCAACCCATTCAGAACACAGACAGCAGGTCAAAGGGCTCCTGAGGGATGTCCACAGAAACAAAAAAACATAAAAAAATGTGAGGCTAAAAATACTGAACAGGTTTGACTTCATAGACAATTATATTAACGGGTATTTACAGACCCAGACCTATTGCAGGATATAGGGAGATGTTTTTAAAAGTATAAGCAGATCTAGGAAAACAAAAAGCTGTCAAGAAATGATACAAAACAAATACCTCTTGGCTCAAAATGACAACGTTTTTTGGCTCAGTAGTAAATATTTACATCATAGTAATGAAAACCTTGAATATATGAGTAGATGTCCCCAAAATTTGACATTCAATTTTATTGGAAGCATGAAAGTGGAGTAAAGGGTAGTAGAA